TAGTTAAATTAAAACAAATTGATTACATTTTCTATACTCAGTCCATTATGTAATTTTCACAAATAAACTCAATAAATTAGCAGAACATTTTATTTATATTTATAATAAGTTAACGAATGAGATATTGCTAGGCACGACTCCTCCAACGAACTAGAGTAAACGTTGCCTAGTCCTACGTGGCATCTCCCGCCCAATAATCCAGCAAGTTAGTTACCGAATGTTATACTCTAGTTACGCGATAGACCTAACGAATCAAACACAACCAGTAATAAAAAGACACGTAAGCAAAACTCGCGAAATCAATCGTGCCACCGAACAATCACGTGAAGAAACACGGATATATTGAGTGCACCTTACCGTACACAATTAAAACAAATTTTAATATCTCATTTAATTTACATATTTAAATTACTTTTTTTCTTTTTGCTCACTCCCCAAGATAGATCTATCCAAGAGAGACACACATTCACTCTTTTTGACTAAACTTTTTTAATTGTTTTCTTTTTTTTTGGTGAAAAGCTTAATTTGTCTCTTTCTCATTTCTCTCCGGCGTCAATTTCACGGCGGCTCCGGTCAACGATGTCATTGACTGTGCCGGGATTCGATTTCAGAGTACGCTTCTTCTCTCTTTTCCTTCGCAATTTCCCGATTCTCTCTTTCTCTAAGGTTCATTGTCTTCTTTGCTTCTTCTGTAGTTGACGCCTCAGTTCGGGTTTTCACCGATCGGGTGAGTTTTTTCTCGCCATTGCAAGGGTTTTTGTTTCGATTGGAGATATTGACTCTGTTTATCGAAATTCAGGGACCATAGTTTCGCCGATGTTGATAATCTCGATCACTGTGTGAAATACTTAAATCAAAGCTTAGTCACTTATGGATTCTCTGCTTCGCTCGACCTCTTCGCTACCGATCCTGTTCGTTTTCTCTCTTTGATAAAATCTCTAATGTTGTTTCTGGGTTTTTGTTTTTGTTTTTTTCATGAATCTGATTCGATGAACTTGTTATTTAGGTTTCGATCGCGAGGACTTGTAATTGCATATACGCTTTGATTCAACAGAGACAACGAGATGTTGAATTTAGAGAATCTGCTAATGATCAGAGACAACGGTGACTATTTTTGTCATTTTTCCTTCTTTGATTTTTCTGTGTTGCATTGGATCTTTTGTTCTGTGATCTAGATCATGCTTTTGAACAGGAAGAATCTTGCGACTGTTTTTGGTTTTATGTGTGTTTAGAGTATAATATAGTTCTAGTAAAATCCTTTTTGGGGACTAAAGACAAAAGTTCCTTTGTTGCATCTATGAAGTTTTTTTTACATCCGGATGATTGTTTGAGAACCTTTTTGTTTGCTTTAGACTTTTATCAGATATGGCGAGGCTCGAGGCGAAAGTTGAAAGGCTTGAGACTCAATTGCAAGCGAAAGAGAGGGAACTTGGTTCTGTTACGAGAACGGAAGCCAAAAATACAGCGGCTTTAAAGGCGCAGAATGAGAAGCTACAGAAAGAGAGAGATGAGTTTCAGAGGATGGTGATTGCTAATCAGGTTTGATCAATTGCTTTATACCAGTTTGATTTCTCAGTTATCTCTAACATGGATCATGTTTCGTAGAATTTGTGAATGCTGATGCGATTCATTTCTGTACATTTGTTTTTTTTTTTTTTGGGTATGAAAGCAAGT